CACCCCCCTGAACATAAGAGGATCTGCGGTGGAAGTGGTCTCCAGCTACAAGTACTTGGGTGTACACATGAATGACAACCTCAGCTGGAGCAACAACACCACCAGCCTGATCAAGAAAGCTCATCAGAGACTCTACTTCCTCAGACGGCTGAGGCGAGCTGGTCTGGGAAGCTCAGTCCTCACCTCCTTCTACAGGTGTGCAGTGGAGAGCATCCTGTGCTCCAGCATCAACGTGTGGCATGGAGGCTGCACAGCTGCAGAAAGAAAAGCTTTGCAGAGAGTGGTGAAGGCTGCACAGAAATCTGTTGGAATCAGTCTCCCCACCATCACAGACATCTACACCTCCAGATGCAGGAAGAGGGCCACCTGCATCATGAAGGACCCCACTCACCCAGCACACACACTTTTTGCCCCACTCCCCTCAGGAAGGAGGTTGAGGAGCATTAAGTGTAGAACCACTAGACTGAGGAACAGCTTCTACCCTGAGGCTGTTAGACTCATGAATCTCTAACTAGAATAATCACAGTGAAAAACCATATCATGTTGCTGCTGATCTGTTTCATGTTGCTGTTGATCTGTTTCAATGTTGATGTGTTCATGCGTGCACATCTGCTCACAGACTCATGTTCATGTTTGTGCTGATGTTCAATGTTTTATGTTATGAGTGCTTAGTGTATATTTAGTTGATGTTTTTCTTAGTTCATATCTTAGATGTTATTACTGTTTTTCTTTTACATTTTATTGTCGGATGTAACTGGGACCCCGTGTACATAATTTCACTCCACCACATGTACCACATGAGGTGCGAATGACAATAAAGAAACTCGGACTCTGACTCTGATTCAAATAAATGCAGCAATATAAGAACACTGATTTAGCACAGAGCCCAATACAAAAACCTGGAGGCTAGCGGTAGCATGCTAGCTCCAGAAACAAACAAACAGACAAACAAACTCACCAGTTCCCACTTTTAGAATACACAGTCAGCTGAAGGTTTTGTTCACAAACAGAGAAATCTAAAAGTTGAGAGGCATGTCAGTCAGAAATAGCAACATAGGCATTAGATATAGGGCTTTCAATGGCTTAAAGTCTACAAGCAACATAGCCTGGTTGTGAGTGTCACTGCACGTTCCGGGACCAAAAAAAAATAAAAATCTGTTCCGGGACCGGAAGCACGATCCGTACCGTGCGCTGGTACTCTGGGCACAGGAGAGCTGCGCCCAGAATAGTCCTATATTTTGTAATGAAGAGGAGCTAACTGTGCATGTACAACTTTTAACAAGAGTCTATGGGCAAAGATTCTTGCGGCCCCAGGGTGGAAATCATCAATCAAAGACATTTTTTATGTCTTCAAGGTAATATGGTGAGTAAGTGGTGGGGCTGCACCCTAGCGCCCCTTATTGGCCAGCCACCACTGTGAACTAAAAGCAGTCTCCAAAACCCAGTTTCTGATGTGGGAAAATGACATTCTGTGAAAGTTCAATAGAAAGCTGGGGGATTAAAAACCAGAGGGAGCCCACTTTAAGTGGGAGTGGTTGCCATGGTGACAGATGAACGTTTATTGGGATTTGTTTTTTCTTCCTTTCATTCTTTTTCTGAGCCAGATAATGCCAGAGGAGGCAGCGAGCTGTGGGGTGCACTCACCCCAAGAGACAACTACAGGAGGAGCTGCGTCTCCTCCTGCTGCTCCTCCAGTCAGCCGAGGAGGAGAGCTAAACAGGAGGAGATTTAAACCTTTATTTCCCATTTTCCCTTCTCCCAGCATTGAGTTTATTTTTCCTTTATCCAGCTTTCATAATTCCACTTTCTCAGAATCGCAGCGTGGATAAACAGAGGGGAGAAACATTTCTTTAAGTCTGCTCAAACCTTCTTTGTCTATTAAATATAAACATCTTTCATAAAATATTATATTTTAGATTCATGACCAGCTTATTAACATCTATGCTCTTTAAATCTGAATTAATCATAGTTTTTCTCCTTTTATTTGCCACCGTTGTGTTGTTCTATACAAATTATTATTTTAATCAAGATTATTATGGGTAAATCAGGATCGTAGTAATTACATTAAACATCAATTGAATAATACTTTTGTTGTGACATGTTCGAACTTTGTTTAGGATCTCGTAATGAAAACCTTTATAAATTGGTTCTGTTTCGATTAAATTAGGTGTTTTCTGATAAGTTATTATTTTTTTAAACCAGAAATATATTTTGAAATTAAATACAATGAACAGAGAACATTCTTTCTTTTGTTTGTAAATTAAAAAGTAACATTTGTATCAGAGTGCCTCCATTAGTTTGATTTTAGTTGCACCTCTTCAGTTTGTCCAGCAGGGGGCGGTGTTGTACCAGAAACTGCCGTTTAATGAAGGGCGGATTATTTCCCAGCATGCTTTGAGTTCGAGCGGATTAAAGAAGGTTCTGGGATTACGGCCGAGTTTTGTCGAAATTAAGGTAACTGTTTTCATATTATTTATTTTCTTATGTAATTTTTGAGTTTTGTGGTATTTTAGTCGTGTTAATTCTGTGAATTCATTCATTTTAATCTGTGTATTTATTCTTAATCTGATGTGTAAATTATTCATCGCATACCAAACGTCTTGCGATCAGATTTAACATTATTTATTAGATTTATCTCTTTAACTGAACGTGGACAAATAAATTTCAGTAGAGTGTAAAAGAAAGAAATTAAAATCTCACATATTCAGACGAACAAAAATCCATAATTTTATTAGAAAATTATTCCGTGTAAAATGTTTGTGTGCTGAAAATGTTATTGTTGAAGGAAATCCTTACATAAAACTATCTGTATAATATATTTTCCAATTCAGTAAAATGACTAATAAATGATAATTATTTATGGTATAATTAATATTCCTTTTCTCTGATACGTGCTGCAGGTCCCCATTGCACATTACTCAAAGGTTGTTTGTTTTTAATCTGGTAAATAAAATAAATGAAACTAGATTACATTTATTTATGTATTTGGCACTCGTATTAGTACTTGCATGCGCCCACCTAATATTTATAAATTATATCCTAGAATATATATTTTTAATAATCGAAATATGAATTAAAAGTATTTGTTGCACACTTTGAAATAGTTTATTTTAGTCATTTTTAAAACAAATTGAAATGTGGGTCTGCACTCAATATAAACAAAACAATGAGCTGAACCTTCATCAGGCTGGCCGATGTGTAGATCAATAAATGTGGCCTGGAAATTGAATATTGTACAATTCTTTTAATAATTTCAGCTTTTTCTGTAGGTAAGAAAACACACATAGTGGTTAGCATTCAGTCATGTTTCACGTGCACTTTATTTATTTATTTAGTTTCACTAAAGGACGCATGAACCATCAAAAAATAATAATCTTTGCACGGATTTTGTTTCTTTATGATTATTTTTAATTTATTTAATCTCCGCGCCACGTCAACATTAATTCCTGCAACATTATGAATTAAAGATTTGTTCGTACGCTGCTGTTCCAGCTGCTGAAAATGTCTGAGGAGATCCAGGAGAAGATCCGAAACTACAAGACGTCTCCGTTTGATGCCCGGTTCCCCAACACCAACCAGACCCGCAACTGTTACCAGAACTATCTGGGTGAACAAGACCGCCTGCTTCACACACTTTCAAAATCCATTCGTGTGAAAATAAACTGCTGAAGATCATGAAAAGTTTGTCTCTTAAAGTACCGTAACTTCCAGAATATAAGCCGCTACTTTTTTTTCACGAGCTTTGAACCCAGTGTCTTATATTCTGGTGCGCTCAATAGTCCAGAAATTACTGTGTTTTACGTTTTTTAAATGGAAAAACTGAATTTCTCAGCCTCAGTGGAAGCATTTCAACATCATTTACCATTTGAGCATCTTCAAGAGGGTTTTACATTAAAAATAAACAAATTCAAGGTCGTTAAAGGACAAAAAAGGCTGAGTGACTCACTGAGATGAAGATTATATAATCTGTGACGTTTCTGATGTAGAGGGATGAAAGGGTTGGAGCAGACATTCACCTCTTATATACAGATTAAAGAAGGTTTCACGTAAAAAGTGTTTATTTTTAAACAGAATAATAAGATTAGATTAGATATATTAAGATAAGATTAAAGCAGTTTGTCTTTTATAATTACAGCGGATTAATTTAGGGGCTCAATCCTTTTTCTGATGCTAACGAGTTTCTTCAGCTAAAAACACTCGGCCTGAAACAGCCAAACATCTCGTGTGTTTTTTTAGTTTGAAGAAACAACAAAGTGGTTTATTGCTGTAACGGAACCAGTTAAATTAGTTTAATTTGAAGTTTTATTTATAATTTTATTAACGTTAACACCTTCCTTGCTCATTTACTTTACTGAATACATATTCTCAGTTGAATATGGAGTGGAGTGCAGCAGGTATGAACCTCAGGACGGAGGTTGTTTTGCAGCATTTTGTCATTTTATGTATAAATGTTATTTGCTTTAAAGCGAGCTCAGAGTTATTTCTTTGTCAAACTGGAATTTAGAAAGTCTAATAAAGTTTTTAGAGTCGAAGAAGAAGCAGGATGTTTGGTGCCAGAAGGAGGGAGAGGATGCTCGAAAAGCGTTTAGTTTTATCCGAGGTCTCTGTGAGGATTCAGGCCATCGAACTCCAGCGCTAAACGTTTTATAAAATTGTTTTGTATGAAATTCAGAAAAATCTCATCTCCAAGCGTTTAACAGCTAAATACTTTAATTTCTTTAAAGTTAATGTTTTTTTTCTACGTTGGCGCGTTAAATAAAACACAAACAGATGCTCCTGGATGAGGAGGAGGTTAAAGCAAGAGGTTGGTCTTTCATAGCTGCACCTGCCGAACGTCACGTGACACGTTCCAACATCTCAACTGTTTCTGTGTCCAGCACTTCGCTCAACTCCTGTTAAAACAATTCATTAGACTTTCTATAAGAAACTAAACTCATTCGCAGCAACATAGTCACACGTCTTCGTAGCTAACAGCTCCTTCTTTTCTCTATCTGACAGATTTCCACAGATGTAGCAAAGCTCAGTCAGCCAAACAGCAGGACCCGGCTCCCTGCGAGTGGTACCGGAGGGTGTACAGGAGCCTCTGTCCCATAGGCTGGGTAAGCTTCTGAACATAAAAGATGCACGGGGCAAAGTTAAACAGTTATGATTTCTAATTCCCTGCATTGAATCGCCAGGTTTTACTTTTACAGACTGTTTTTTTTTTTTATTACCGTAATTCCCGAACTATTGAGCGCACCTGAATGCAAGCCACGCCTACTAAATAATAAAAACAATTGTGCATATATACGCCTCACTTGTCTATAAGCCGCAGGTGTCCACGTTGTGACATTTGAGATATTTACACAAAAAGATTTTTAAAAACTTTTAATTAAATACGTAAAATACACAAATATGTACAGAAATGTGGCTGTTTAAATAAATAAACGCAGTAGCCTACCAGGAAGTCATTGATCGCTATCTTCGTCTTCCTCCTGCGCACAGGAAGTGGACCAAAGAATGGGACCTGTTCTTTAATTTCATTGGTCCGATTTTTTTTACCGTTATTTATACAGGTAGTCTCATTGTAGTTCTAGAATTGCGCTGCTCAAGGTTGGAGCAGCTCTGTTACTTTCATTCTGAGATTTTGCTTTTGGAAACTTTACTTCCTCTTTTTCTGGATGTAAATTACATTTTTTTGGATGATTGTTTCCTCTGGTATCAGATGCTGTGCAGCTGGAAGGATTTTTACTGAGACTTTTTTGGTTTTGGACATTTGTTATGATGCGTAACCATGGCAACAAGGCAGTTTTCTACAACAACAGCAGCTGATTAACATCTCAAAAGCTCAAATAATACCTCAACTACAGTCCCAACTCTCAAATGTGTTGAAAAAGATGTTCTGTGGATGCATTCCCATCTACCTGCCAGCTGTGCTCGAGTCCCTGACGACTGAGATCCTGGAACTAGCAGGAAACACGGCTCACGACAGCGGAAGGACAGGATCGTCCCTCGGCACCTACAGTTGGCTGTCCACAGTGACGAGGAGCTCTGCAGACTGCTGGGAGGCGTGGCCATCGCTCTTGGAGGAGTTCTGCCCGGCATTCAGGTGGTCCTAAAGTCCGCGGGAACCGAGAGGTCAGCCAAGTCTGGGTGGACGGATCGGACGGCATCTGCAGCCAGTTTCTTAGGATCCACTGTGGGATGGACCTTTACAAGAGATCCTTCCCATCTACAGCCATCAGTATCTATAACATCTCTTAATGAAATGAGGATAACGAGTTACAACAACAAATAATTTCCCTTTGGGATTAATAAAGTATTTTTGAATTGAATTGAATTGAATTGAATTGAGTCACGAGGACCCGCCCCCATGACAGACATGTGACGAGGCTAAATGATTTGGTGACATGACGTTCGTTAGCCTCTCAAAAAAAATTAAAAATCCATAAATTAACTGCAGCGTTGTTCAAAGTGTGTGAAAAAAGTAGAGGCTTATAGTCCGGAAATTACGGTAATTAATTGGTAGTTTTATTGATATTGTACAGGGATTTTAATGTTTGCCAATTTTGTTGTGTGATTGTTTATGTGTTGTGTTTTTTAATTTTCTCTCCACCCTAAGGGGACAATAAAAGTGAGGATGATGATTAATTCCTGCTGCAGGATGTTTCTGTCTCCATAACACGAGTTTTGTTTTTTAAATTGATCTTATCACTCTATAAAGTTTTGTTGTAACTATACGAACCCACCGAAGCGATGAAGCATCATGTTGTAACAGAATTGAGTCAAACTAAAAGAAAATATTTACCGGAGAGTTTTCCGTCCTGCTGATGCCAAATAAAAACTCAACTGCTTGAATTAAATTAGCACAAACTTATAAACATGTATATTAAGAATTAATATATATATATATTTTTTTTTTTAAGAAGAAAAAAGTACATCCTGTCTGTTTTTTTTTTTCTGTGATACTTTTATAACGCCTTCTTAAGTTTTAAAGTGTTTCTTCTCTTCTTGAAGGTGCAGCGATGGGACGAGCAGTTGGAAGAAGGAACTTTCGCCGGGAGGATTTGATCGCACGTTTCACCACCGCGGGCAACATTTTATTGTGAAACATTCCAGTATTTCCGTAGATTTAACTCATTAAAGCAACGTATTTTAACGTGGACCATGCTTAACTTCCTGCGGTGTCGTTATATTTTAGGTGTTCACCGTGAGACTTTAATAAATGTGTAAATCTCACAACAAACCTCATTGAGCAGATTCAACAAAGTGAATTTTCAGGACGTGTTAGTTGATTCCACAAAACTTAGAATGGAAAATGAGTTCGGTTTTATTATGCGCAACAAAAAAAAACACATTAAAAAAAGATTTAAAGGTGAAGACTACGTTAAAAGTTTAGTCTCAGCTTTTCCCAATAAACAATCCTTTGTTCATTTATCACCTGAGACAAGAGAAGACGCAAACAGACACAGGCGGTCCAAACATGTAGAAATATTAATGTAGTCGCCGAACCTTCATCAGGCAACGCTCAAGATTAAAAATCTGTTCATGGAGGTTTGTGAAGAGACGCAACGCATCGTTTTGGTAAAGGGCGAACCATAAAAGTCAAGTCAAATATCCTAAAGTTATAAAACAAACAATCTCATCTGATGTCCTGCAGTTCAGACAAAAAATAAAAACATCATCCGCAAGTACAGCCCAAAAGTTATGAAACATGTTTATATGAAGTTTGGTGTTAAATTGTTTGTAGTATTTTAAATAATTTGTGATATTTGTTTGTAATTGGTCGGACACTTAATGAACTTCCTGATTATAATATTAATAATAGTTCTTGAAATTAATAATAGTAATATATTTTTAAAGTGTTTATGTGATGAATAATGACCTCATTGTCACAATAAATATCTGCAAGAAGTGTCGTTTTGCCTCTTTAGACTCTTTGTGAGGGTTTGGAACACTGAGATTCTCAAAATGAAATAAATAAATAAATAAATAAAGCATAATGGAATAAGAAATGTTGGCTTATTTATGTCATAATGATGTTTTTCATGATAGCTTGTTTCATAATGATTTATTTATTTCATTTTGATCGTTTCGGTGTTCCATACAACAAAAACATCAGCTTCTGTAAAGTTTATTATCTTTTTTTATTTAACGTAGAGTTTGTTTTTTGGTCACTCTAACGATATAATGTTCATTTTTACTCTAAAATCTAAAGGTAAACAAGAAATCAGCTGATGCTCCAAAGCATCTTGAACTTTTTCTTGAAACCTTAGACGTGTGACGCATTTCTCCTTCAGTGACACTGAACCATCTTAAATGACAAATTTAAAAAATATTAAAAAGTAAAAAGGCTTAGATCACATTTATTTATCAGTCAGTTACAGAACAATAAATATTAATTTATGCTGTTTCCCTAAAAGTCTTGCATTAGCTATAAAACATTAAACAACTTTTAAACTTAGTGGAAAATCATAAAAGTAATTTCTTTAATTAATCTAAATTAAATAATATTTTTATACCTGAAGAGGCAGAACTTCGTGTCCTGCAGTCAGCTGCTTTCATGTCACCTCGTGCTCGAGCTTTTCGATCACTGATTATTTGTAAAAGAGAGCAAAGTTTTTAAAGCTCTAACAACTGCAGCATCTCTGACCGGCGTCACGTGGCCCGTTGCCCCAGCAACGGGCCTGCGTTGCATCAGCATCAGCAGCAGCCAAGGTCGCGAGGCAGAGGCATCGTGAAGGACACGAGAGAGGAAGTCAGGGAGGGTGGGGGCGGGGGGTGAACAATCAAGCCTCCTCGCGACCCACCGTCACCCACCCCCTTCACACACACACGCGCGCGCATGCGCCCATTCATGACCAACTAACCGAAAAAAGGCTGAGAACAAAATAGGAGGCCTCGCGGGATGTGGCGCACAGCAGACCTGGATTTCAGCACGCAACAGCGCAGGGGGCGGGGCGTCATCGCGACACCCCGGCGCCGAGCTCCTGATTGGCTGATGTGGGGACGGGGTCAGTCTTGACAACATTGCGTGATACGTGCGGTCTTCCTCGCAGCCCCGCAGGATTGAGGCAGTGCTGCAGCCCGCCGAGGGGGTGTTGGGAGGAAACCAAGGTTTGTCACAGTCACGACAGGTGAAGGTCCAGCACCGACCGCTCCGAACCGAGCTGGGATTTTAAACAGGTAGGAACCAAATCTGCGTGTTTTGTTTTGATTTGAACAAAACTGGAGCTCGGCTGCATCATCGGGTCAGTTTCTCTCCTTGAAACGAGCCCAAATCCACCCTGACTGTTGGTGGTTGTTTTAAAGGAAGTAAAGGACGCAGAACCACCTCTGGACCACCAGCCTGGTTCGGTTTGCAGCTTGGAACCCCACCTGAACCCCTCCTCCTCCCTGCATCCTGCAGATCTGAAACCTCAGAAATCACCTGTGATCAGACAAACAGCACACTTTAGAAGATGGAGGGACAGGTAAGGAAGTGATGTTATGTATGTGACCCACATTCAAAGGTCAGCGTTAAGGTCTTGAAAGGATTTGTTGCTAAAAGCTGAAATTAACCGAAGAATCCACCGAAAACATGGATGTGTTGGAAATAAACTGTGTCTCTGAGCAGATCAGTGTGGGAGGGGTGAACATGTAATGCATGCTGTTAGTCAACAATCAGTCCGCATGTTGGAGTCTTCCTGTTTGAGACAAATATCGTGTGTTTGCTGATGCCTGGATGCAAATCAGGATCATTTACACAGGAAGCAAACTTGAGTTGAACACCCATGACTGACTAACTGCGACTTTTTTATTTAATTGTAGTGTTTGTTTTAGGGTCAAATAATGTGAATATATGCTCAGGATGTGCATATTTGTTCTAATATTACTCCACATCCATTTCTAACTCCTGTTGGAAACTTTGCTTCATCTCATTTAACTGTTGCTGCTCATTTAAGCTCATCTAAGGATTCTGTTGACCACTATCCTTATTTCATGGTTAGAACACTGGGTTTACTGGTGCAGCATTAGAATGGTTCTGTTCTTATGTGAGTGACAGGAGTTTTTGTGCTAATGTTGGTAATAGTCTCTTTCCTGCGGGGTCCCGCAGGGTTGGATTCTTGGACCCCTTCTGTTTTCACTGCATCTGTTCCCTTTGGGGTCTGGAAACATGGCCTTTTGTTTCATTGATGATTGCCAGATTTATCTGCCTTTAAAACCCTATTGTTCATGCACAACTCACCCTCTGTTAAGCTGTCTTGATGACATCAAGGCTTGACGACTTCAAATTGTTTGTTTCAACGATCAGAAAACTGAAGTTATTGTGTTTAGCCCTCTACCTCTGTTCCTGTAAATCTTGACTCTCTTCAGCTATATCTTAAACAGTCTGTTACAAATCTCAGGATAGATTTAGACTCTGACTTTAAGTTTAATAAACAGATTGACTCTGGTCTACAAAAAAGCTTCTTCCAGTTAAGGCAGATATCTAAGCTTAAGTCAGTGTTGACCAGATCTGACCTTGAAAAAGTAGTAGTCCATGCATTCATTACAACCTGACTAGACTACTGTAACACACTCTCGGGGTAAGTCAGGTCTCCCTTCCACGTCTCCAGCTCGTCCACAATGTGGCAACTCGGCTCTTAACAGGAACTCTTAGGTTTGAGCACATTTCACCAGTTTTGTCCTCCCTTCACTCGTTCCCTGTACGTATCACAATTGATTTTAAAATTCTACTGTTGAACTTTAAGTGTATAATGGCCTTGCACCCTCATACCTCTCTATAAATACATTTGACAGGACTTAACATTGTATTGAAGCTACAAAGCTAGTATTTTTGTTCCTTGTTGTATCCATTTTCTTTACATTCCTTAAAAACACACGAGTTCAACTTATTTATGGAACCAGACCAAATGTGTCCTTCGGGGATTTGTGTATAGGACTTCTGGGAAATATAGGAAGACAAATTAGGCAAGTAAGAGCAACAAATTTGGCTATAAAAAAAGAAATATTGTGTCACAGTGTGGTTTTACAGAATAGGCAACACAAATGATCTGAAAACATTACAGGCTGGGTACTGACACACTTTCATCACACACATGGGAAAAACATCAATATATGTTATAAAGAAATAGATAGAAGGGCTTTTTCCTGAAGAAAAGCAACACTGCATTGGAAAATATGTTCAAAAAACTATATGGATTTAGTGGTTTAAAATTATTTAAAAAATAGAAACAAAATAAAAACATAATCTCTATTTAGGTCTCTGCTTAAGTTGAAAGCCAGAAGGGAAAAAAAAGAATTTTAAAGCAGAGACCCTGCACCTTCAGCTGTTCAATCTTTAAAATCAAGCAGTAAAGTCCAAAAATCAATCCAGAACCAAACAGGAAGCCTGGGGAGAGCTACCACAGCTGGAGTTATATGTTCATGTTTCTAGTACCAGTTAAAATCAAGCTGCTGCATTAATAATTAATGCAGAGATGATTTATCTAAAACAAACAGACAGAAAGTAACAATGGTCCAAGTGAGTGGAAATAAAACCAGGAATGACTCGTTCCAGGTCCTTGATGTGGTGATACATGACTTCACTTTGGTTTTAAATGGAAAAAAAGCTTCATTTCACCACTCTACCTGTTTCTCTCACTTGAAAGAGCTAGCAAAAATAAAACTATCTGTTATCAGAGTGACTGCATGTGTCTAACAGGACAATACTGTCCAAACCTGATCACTACTTTTTATTTTTTTTATCTTTAGAAATTTAGAAAGCTCATTTTTAGTTGAATAAGGGTTTTTAGGCTCAATCATCCAGATAGATAACAAACGAAGGTTAAATAATTTCATCTGGACCCGTTTCTTTAAAGGAGAAACGTTTCTTCTTCCATCTGGAAGACTTCATCAATCTGTGGCCTGCCAACCAGCTGTCCCACAAGTAGCTCTCATTGCTGTGTTTCAAGACAACCTCCTGTTGGAATCTCAGGAGCAGGCTTTTAACACATGCAAAAGGACCCATCTGTCCAAAACAATCAATCATCGTTATAACAATCAAATGTTTTAGGGCAAATGGCTGACTTGCTAATCACAAAAACAGCCTGAGGACACCAAGGCCAAAATAGTTCAGGAAAATGTTCGTAGTCTCAATCATCCAGGTAGATAACAACAAAAGAAGGTTATATCATTTCGTCTGGCAGTTTCTTTAAAGGAGAAACGTTTCATCTTCCATCTGGAAGTCTTCAGTCTGTGGCCTGCCAACCAGATCTGTCCCATAAGTAGTCCTCATTACTGTGTTTTAGTTGAATACTTGACTATAGTTGATTTATACTGTCTAAATTAATAAGCAGATATATCTGGACATCATCAGCGTAGCAGTGGAGAGGAGTCATGAAAACAGACCTCAAAGGCAACATGTACAGGTTAAAAAGAAGTGGACCCAGTATTGACCCTTGAGGGACCCCACAAGTGAGAGGAGCCTTTCCCTTAATGGACATAAAACTCCTGTTAGTCAGGTAAGATTTAAACAAGGAAGAAAGTTAGCTTTTGATGCTAACAACCTGTTTGCGTCTTGTCAGTAACGTGTTATAACCCACAGTAGGCCGAAAAATACTAAATGGTAAAAATTCAACAAAAAACAATGAAAAACGGTTTAGTTTACTGGTCAATTTTTTTTAGTTTTACTGTGCAAACAGACAAACATGTTGACAACTTGTTCAAGTGGACTCAGAGCTGAGGCAGGTAATTAAAACTTTGTGACGTGTTTTTGTCTGGAGTGTCATTGATGAACACCTTCGTGAGTCCCGCCCTCATGTCGACTGATTGACAGGCTTGTATTTTTGACTTTATCTTCTCTCCATTGACTTCTTGTTTGAATATAATAACATCTCACCCATTCTTTTTTATTAGCTTTCTTGCAGTGGCTGGTTCTTTAGTAAATATTAACTTTTCATAGTAGTGCGCTTTGCTAGAATTACGTTGCTACAAATGGATAGATGGTCTGTCTACACTTATCTGATGCTGTGTTCAACTGTACATGAACATGCACATTCATCCTCATGATTTGACTGAGCAGGTCGATTACCAGCATCACAGTTCCACTTAGAAAGGTTTTGATTGTAGCAATGAAGCTAACAATACTTCATAACCACAAATCATGGACAAACCATCTGGAGACTTAGAATAAACAGTTTTGTCTATATAGTTCTCCATAAAATGTGATTAGTTTTTGTGTTATTCACTGTGATGAAAGATGCTATGGTAGCTCAGTGGTCAGTGTTGTCGATGTCATCCTGAGGCTGCAGGTTTGAGCCCAGTTAGCATCAAGAAGGGCATCAGTACCTTTGGCATACGGAGCACATTAAACAAATTAGGCAGTGCTGTGCAGTATCTGCTTTAATGATGTTGCAGTGAGGATGTTTTATTAATGTATGCCTTTAAATAGTTTGTCTATGTTTAATGGTGGATTTCTTGCTCTGCGATTGGTTATTTGTTGATGACTCTACTGGTTTTAAGAGGTAAAGAAAGTCCAGGTTTCCTAAACAAGTTGAAAAGCATTTTGTCCCTTTATTCATGAAACTTGCTGTTCGGGTAATTCAAGCCAGACCACCTTAAAATACTCTTGGATTTGTTGAGCTTCTTCACGTCTTAAGCCTCCAGCATCACTCCACATGTTTAGCTGGTTCACCCGTCCACCAGGTGTGGTGTCCTTTGACTCGGTGAAGGCGTATTGATTCTGTGTGTGTGTGTGTTGCCTACATTCAGAGGTGCTGCATCAACAGAATCGTTTCTCCTTTTTTATTTCACGAGACCTTGCTGCACATGTGCATCTCTTTCTATTAGTCTGGGTCAATAAAGCTCCATGTTGCCGCTGCACAAACTAATGAAGGTGTGTGTGTGTGTGTGTGTGTGTGTGCAGAGAGTTCAAAACACTAAATCAAATGGAAAGAATGTGCTGCAGACAAGCAAACACAGATTTGTTTCAAAATAGACAAATAGTTGCATAATTTTTAAAAAAATCAACTGCACTTTAAGAAAAAAAACCAGCTTATTTTGGTCAATTAGCCCTAGAAAGCCGCGTGCAGTTCAGAATGAATGTGTGTGTGTCAGGATTGTAAAATCAGATGGTGTTTTTCTACAACGCTCCTCATAGCAACGTGTCATCTGTTCAGATTATCTGCCTGCTGCAACACACAGATTATCACTGTAATGGTGTTACAGTTTTCAGAGCAATGCTGATTGTATTTAATCTAAACAAACGCTTTATAGATTATTTCAAATATGTCACTAAAGTACAGATTTAGGAAGAAATGTGTGATATTTTCTTTTTTTTATTATTATTACCCATGCAAACAGCAGTTATTAAGATTTAATTGTTATCTTTATCAAAGCCATTTGGAGCGCTGTCATGCGATCAGAATGATTTAAACGCTGCGACTGAGGCAGCTGCAGAAAACGAGGAAGGAGTACCTCATGGCGTGTGTCGTGACTCCGTGTGTGATCA